CCGCCGGGGCGCCCGGTACCTGAGGAAACCCATGTCCTCACAGCCGAGTCCCGCCACCCTGGCGTTGGAGCGTGAGGAACACAGGAGCCGCCACGTCCCCTCCGTCTTGTCGAACACGGTGAGCCGGGCGTCCACCGGGTTGACCTGCACTGCAGGGCAAGAGGACAGGGCGGCTGGGTCGCCTCCCGCCAGCCTGTTCTCCTGCCTGGAGGGTCCGGTAGGACCCGCGCGGCCACCCAGGCCCCCGATTCATGGAGTTTCTGCAAGAGCCTGTGTCTGAGGTCACACAGGTGAATGGCCGCCCGGGTTCCGGCTGGCCGGCTGGAGGCCCTGGTTCCCCAGCCGATGGCCTGTGAGCTGCAAGCCAGTCTGAACATGGGGCTCCCCAGAGAATGGTGTGAAGGGCCCTTCCTGCCCCAGTGAGGGGGAAAAAGTCACCAAGGAGGAAACTCAAGACATAGCTGCTGGCATTTTTAAAAGCCCCTTGGGGAGCCAGGACTGCACCCTCCAGAATGATCAAGTACATGAAGATTATCGCTTCCCTTTTATGTTTAACTCATTTCCTAATTCTTTTCCTCTGGTCTGCTGCTGTCTGAAGATTGTTGGCAAATCAATCAGATTGCAAAGTTAGACAGATTTTCTGTAACTGTAAAAAAAAGGCTATCGGGCCCTCCCTGGTGGCACAAGGGGTTAAAGTCTCAACTCTATGAAGCTACCGCGGCCACTGCAGCATGAGTTCAATCCCCAGCCAGGGAGCTGACCCACAGGGCGCAGCAGCCCTCTCCTGACCTGCCCGCTGCTCCCCTCAGCAGTCCATCTGTCTGTTCTGCTCCCCGCTCTGTCTCTGGTGAATCTTCTCACCCCCTGCACCCCAGTTCTGCATACATAAATAAATCAATCTTAAAAAAGGGCTGTCTTCTCTGCAGGACTTGTCAGTGCCTTCAACGACTAATAGACTAAAGTGGGGTGCAGCCTCCAAGCAGGGGCTGTAGTAGTTATTCATTCACTCAACAGCATTCACCCAGTCCTATGTGGGGACACAGAGGCGACCGAGACAAGCCTGAACCGTGATCTCACCAAGCTGAAGTCTGTGGGGTGGGGAGAGACAGTGCTTGAAAATCACCCAACCAAAGGCATCATGACAAACTGAGAAGGCTCAGACAGCTGGACCTTCCAGCAGATTCCTCATGCCCGGGGCCGGTGATGCTCCCCTCACCCCTCTCCGGCCCCTCCACCCAGGACCAGAGGACTCTGTGCCAGGGTCACAGCCTGCCAACCTGTACTTCCTTTCACCAGACACACAGAATGTGCCAGGCTCTGTTCTGGGCAATGAACAAATCGTCCGAGCAACAACCCAGTCAAGCCTCCCTCAGCCCTGAGGAGCTCAAGAGCCAACAGGCAAGAGCCTCGAACGGACACTGAGCCGCACAGACCTTGTGCTACAGGGAGGGGCTTAGCCAGGGGCTGCCGGTGAGCTGGTGCGGCCACAGCTTTCGTTGGTGGGCAGGGAGAGCATTACGGGGAAGGTGGCTGGGAACACCTGAAGCAGGTGAGAAAGGGGTGAAGGTAATTGAGGAAACAGAATGGACCAGGGGCCCAGAAAGTGGCCAGCTCTCAGGCTGAGAACAGGGGTTGGGGGTGCTTGAGGCATAGAGACGGGGGCAGAGGCACAGGAGAGATGACATGGGCCTGACAGACTTCAGAGTGAAGCGTTACAAGAGTGAGGCGAGGGGTCTGCGTGGTGGGCGGGGAGGGGGGGGCTGACGGGGGTCACAGGCTGCCGTGTGGGGAGCGGGCTGTGGGGGATGACAGTGCGGAGCAGGGTGTCCAGGGAGGAGCAGGGTGTCCAGGGAGGAGGCCGGAGGAGGGAGCCAGCTGGGGGGAGAGCGGAGTTTAGATTCGGGACAGGCTGTGTGGGTGGAGGCCGCGGGTTGGGGTGCGGGGCAGAGCGGATGAGGGTTAGGGACACCCGAGGTGTTCGAGGTGTTCGGCCTGGCGGGGCTGAGAGTGACCGAGCAGGCTTGGGAAGGAGCCGCTGTCAACCTCTTGGGCCTTACATACGGTCCCTGTGTGGCCAGGGGCACAGCCGGGGGTTCTGGGGTGCAGACGCACTTTCACCCAAGCTGCGGTCTCCCTGCACAGCTGGACTAGGGGAGACAGGACCAGGGAGACCTCCTGTGTGCCCTGCGCCAGGCTCCACACTCTCCCTGGCACCATCAACCTCAGAGGGGGCCGCAGAGACCGCACCTGTTTTTCAGTTGGGGAAACTGAAGCTTAGGGGGACGGGTGACTTGGCCAGTGGCCCCAAGCGAGGGAGAGGCAGAAAGAGAGGATGTGAGGGGTCACCCGTGACAGCTCAGCCAGCACAGCACTGGCTACATGTCCAGTGTTGCGATGGAGCTGGCCGTGGCTGGCCGCACGCGGAGGTACCTGGGGACTCTCCAATCCCACCTGTCTGGGAGGCGGAGGCCCACTACTGTGCCCATCTTGCAGATGGGGAAACTGAGTCTCCGAGCAGAATAGGCAAGGCCAGGATTTGAATCCAGACCTGCTGGCTTGCATGGCCTGCTAAGAGCTTCCTGGCTGGCCGGCCTTCATGATGGCCCCCTGCTTTGACATGGGGGTGGGGGAACCCCTCCACCCCCACCCTCTGTGTTCCAGCACTGACTCAGGCTCTGAAACCCCAGCTGGGGCTAGGGGGTGAATCTTACTTTATAATGACTTCGAAATGCTCCCGAAATGTGATTTCCAGAAAGTGCGAGGTTTCAGGAAAAAATTATCACTTTATGGTTGTGTGCGGGAGAAGGCGGCGGGGGGAGGGAATAAAATACTCCCCTCCGATTATTTTTAAAGCCACCTTCTGTGACACTGTTTCTCACTTTTAAACTCTTTATTTTTGCCTGCTTATTTTAAGCGAAGCAAAGTCTGTTCTGGGTCACCTGCTTTGCTTACCAAACTGTCTGATATATTTAGAGGTGTGAAAAATCCCAGAAAAATGAAATGGGGATACAGTTCGGGGTGGTTGTTGACGCTTTTAAAACTTCCCCACGTTTTGGAGAAACCCAAGTGGCATCAAGGGCCGGGGGCTGGCGGTGGGGAGAGCCGACCTGAAAGGTGGCCTGGGGCTTCGTCACGCCGAGGCGTCCTGAGCACCTACTATGTGCCAGATGCTGTCTGGGCGGTGACAAATGTCCACATGCCCCGATCCTAGCAGGAGTCGGTAATTAACAGTGTGAGGGGTCTTGTGCAGCGGAAGGATGGGGGTGTGGGCTCTGGGAAGCAGGGGGGCCTGAGGAGTGGGAAGAGCAAGAGCCGCACATAATCATCTCTTCTTCTCACCGCCAGTTGCCAGGTGAGCACAGTGAGACTCCCAGAGGACACGGCAGGTGTGAGGTCCCCGAGCTCGGGGACACCATGCAGATCTAAAGCTGCCTGCAGGCTGGGAGCGGAAGAGGTGGGTGAGCTAGGGCGGTGTCAGGGCGTCCATCCGGGACACGAAAGTAGGCTGTGGACAGGAGTGGCGTGGAGGGGGCCCAGGGCCTGGGCTCGGTAGTGGTGGGGACCTGGCGAGGAGCTTCCCCGCAGATGCCAGACCCCCTGCCCTGCCACTTATCCAGCGGGTGGTCCTGGGAAGTCAGTTCACTTGTGACCACAGCCAGTCACAAGCTGAGCCTGGCTGGCCAAGCCGGCCCGCACTGTGGCAACTCGCTGGCTGTTTCTACGAAACCACAGACCGATTTCTCCAAGAAACGGACCCAGACTGCCTGGGTCCAGATCCCAGACCTGCCACTTACTCCGTGGCGTGGCCTCAGTCCCCGCGCCTTTCTGGCATGGGTTTCTCCAGACCAGCTGGCTGTGGTGAGGATTTAACAAAGGGGATGTGTAAAGCCCCTGAGGTCGTGCACACAAGAAGGTGGGGTGCCGGTCCGGCCAGGGGATGCCCGGATGCCACCTTTGCCAGTGTGGATTTCCTTCTCTCAATGTGAGCTGACTCCTCATGGAACTGGAAGCTCAGAGGAGTGGAAGATACTTCCCACCTATGTCCCCTTGTTTCCTGTTGCCCTGGGCCATGGGATGGTGACTTGGAGTGGGCCAGCCAGCCAGCCACCATCTACCCACCCACCCACCCATCCATCATCCACCCACCCATCCATCATCCATCCATCCATCCATCTATTTCACTCACTCCATAATTCATGTCTGCATCTATAGAGGAGTGTGGCCAGCTAGTCCCACCTGCCTGCAGATAATTCTCTCCTAGGCAGGAGGAAGAGCCATTCCCGGCCCCATCATTTACCACCTCATGTCCTCTCTGGTCCTCACATTCCACATCTGTAAAATGGGGTACTACCAGACCCCGTACAGCTCCCTATGATAGCTCACAGAGCTCAGGGAATTCACACAGTGCCCCTCAAGCAGTGGTTGTGACCAAGCCCCGCAGTAAGGAACACAGTTTTGCGTTATGACATAGCACACGAAGCCTGACCATGGCTCCAAGCCTCAGTTTCCCCATCTGTAAAATAGCAACAATGACATTCCCATCTCATCAAACAAAGACGAGACGAACCAGACTTTTTCTCACTGGGAGGGCTCTCTAATATCTTCTCATCTCTTTCACGCTTTGAAAAAAAAAAATGTGGCTTTCAACTCATTTAATTTTGCAATGCACTACGGGCTTTCCAGTCTGAAAAGTCCAGGACAGGGCCAGGGAAGAGCACTATTGTTAGCGTTTCTACTCGCCGCTGCGCCTTCATTCATAACACCCTTTCAGGGTGTTCCATGGAGCCCCCACTTCCCCCAGTGGGCCCCGAGGGTCCCAGCCTGCTTTGCTCACCTGGATACAGTGGCTCCTGGTCACTCCTGAGCAGAACGGTCACTGTGGAGAAGGCAGAGGTGAGGGCCTCCGGCTGTGGGCCACCAGGGGGGAGGGGAGGCACAGGGGGCCACGCTCACCAATGGCCCAGGACGCCGCCCCGATGCCAGTCAGCAGTATCAGGGTGCCCACAGCGAGGGCTGCCACCCTGGGTCCGGAGCAGCATGGCACGGCCCGGCCACCTGCAACAGACATCACGCTGGGGCCACTGCCAGGCCTGCCCTAGTGGAAGCAGGTCTGGGCGCTGGGCCAGCGCAGCCCTGCCCCCAGGGCCGGCTCCGCCTGGCCAGCCTGCCCTGCCCTGGGCCTGATCCCCGAGGCCGAGGCCTTGGCAAGGCCGGCTGCCCCCCGCGGTGTGGACAGCCAGGTGTCCCGCTCCCCAGGACTCCCGCCGGAGGGGCGTGGCTGTGACAGGTGCCATCCTCCCTGCCTCCACCCTGGCACTAAGGGCTTTCTCTTCCCGAGGATGACGCTGCGCTTTTGTATCGCCCTCTGGCCTGGGGCCCTCTTCCTTGCAGCACTCGCGCCTGCTAACTTTCCTGGAACTTCTTGGGGACCACGAGCCCCGGGTTTTGGCCTTTAGCGGTTCCCCTCTCCCCGGCCACCTGGCATTTCCTCACTGCCTCGTTTCTTTCTGCAGTTCCAAATCCCTTGCCCCAGGGTAGCGTCTAGAACAGATTCTCCTGCAGAACCCAGCTTCCAAGTCCAATCTGCCCCTGGGAAGGGGGGTTGTCACGCCTGGAAATCTGCCAGCCTCACTTGAAGGGACCTGGGGCAGGGGCGTCGCCTGGCCCAATGATGAACACACCCTCATCTGTTTAATGGGCATGCAGCACCTTGAAAAGCAGTTGGCCTAAAGCACTATTAACAATAACAGAGCCTCCCTGGTGACACAGGGGTAAGTCTCAGCACCATGAAGTTAGCCGCAGCCACTGCAGCTCGAGTTCAATCCCCGACGAGGGAGCTGACCCACACGGCACAGCGGACCTCTCCTGCCTCCCCGCTGCTCCCCTCAGCAGTGGATTTCAGTAGAGCTGCCTGTCCTGCTCCCCACTCTGTCTCTGGTGAACCCTCTCACCCCTGTACCTCAGGCCTGGATCCCAGTTCTTGTACGCATAAATAAATCTTAAGTAAAATCATAACAGCCCAACTGACCCGATGTTTACTACGTGCTAAGCGCTGCTGTGAATACATTTACTTATCGGGTCACAATTCCCATTTTTCAGAGAAAGCTGAGGCTAAGAAAAGTGCATTTACTCGCCCAAGGAGACTCAGCCAGAAAGAGGCAGAACCTTCACCCCCATAGCAGCCCGCAGATCTGGCGTGGGGCGGGCGTTCGGAGCAACTGAGTCTCATAGGGTACAGCAGGTTCTCAATAAAAGCTTGTAAATATTTACAGCTGTGTGCTCCGGCCACGCCCTCCAGCCCTCGGAGCTCAGCTTTCCAGTCAATGGAATGGCCCTTTGCTCGTTCACCACCCTGGCACCTTCTAAGCTCCGGGGACACATCCTAACACAAGGCAGGGAGAGCCAGGTGCTCGCAGGGCTCAGGGTCCATGAGCGCAAGGTGAGAGGGGAAGATAAAAACGAGTAAATGAGCTTGACAGACTCTAGAGTGCAGCCAAGTCTAAGAAGCAAAGAATGAGGGGGCGAGGAGAGGGCATCAGGTGGGGGTCTGCAGGATGCTGGGCGAGACCTGACCAGCCACGCAGAGCCGCAAGGAACAGCATTGTGCCAGAGGGGACAGCACAGGCAACGGCACTGAGGCCAGAATAAGCAGTTGGAGGGTAAGAGAGGCCACTAGAGTGGCCCGGAAGGTGAGAGCCTGGGCTGGCAGTGGGAATGAGGCTGGGGTCCGCCAGGGAGGCCGGCCTGGGACGAGAGGGATTCTAGTCTCAGTACCATACGAGTTGCTCTTTAGCGGGGGCGTTGGGGCCACAGGGTGAAAGGCTGCTGTGGCCGCAGCTGGGGGTGGCATAAACCTAGCTGCACCCCCAGGCACCCCCAGACTGCAGGAGCTGTGGGTTCTCCCATCTGGCACGACAGGTGTGAGGTCCCCGAGCTCGGGGACACCATGCAGATCTAAAGCTGCCTGCAGGCTGGGAGGGCGAGGGGTGGGTGAGCTAGGGCGGTGTCAGGGCGTCCATCCCGGAGCCTGGCACCAGCAGCACCCCGGCCAGAGCAGGGAGGGCCTTGCCTGGGTGTCTTAAGAGTCTGCCATCTTCGTTTAGGTGATGGGAAGCCCACGGGGATCACAAATAAGATGGAAAAAATGCACAAAATGATGTAAAAATAAAGTATTATATTATTAAAAAAAAAAAAAAGAATCTGCCATCTTCCCGGTTCCGGGGGAGGTCTTGGCTCCCTGCGTGGGCAGGCTGACCCTGGGCCTGTCTTCACATGTGCCTCCCAGGGGCCCCCAGGGGTGGGCCAGGAAGTGTCCTGGCTCTGGGGAGCCGCAGGATGAGCAGGCGGCCGCCCACTCCCCCAGGCCTCTCTTCTCCAGGCGGTGGCCGCTGCCTCCTTCTCCCGGCCCCATTTCAGCTGCAAACGCCCTCACAAGTGACATCCTTGCCTGCGGTCTGCCTAAGAGCCCCCAGCAACAGCCGCGTCTCAGTCTTCAGGGCACCAACTCCAAGCGGAAGCCTCCCTCACTGGATTCTGACCCCGATTCTCCTTCCACTCTGACGGCCTTTCCCACCTCCTGACCTTTTCCCGAGCCACTGAGCAGCCTGTGGCCTCCTGCCACGCCCGAGTGAATGCCCCTAAGCGTGGACACTCGGCAGCCCCCAGGCCTGGGGACCCACAGGGGTCTCAAGGTCTCCCCGAGTCTCGGGCCCTTCCTCAGAGGCTCCGCCCACAGTCTCCCAGATTCTCCGGCCCCCTCTCCTGTCCCCAGCACCCTCCAAGCCCAGGTCTCCGTCTCTCCCAGGTCCAGCCTCTGCAAAGAAGCCTGGGGGATCTGCTTGGAGCAAGTCCACCCTGTCCTCCTTTACCTAGAGCCTTCCAGGACTCCCTGGTGTCCCTCACAACAGGGTCTAAGGCCCTCAGCCCCTCGGGGTACAAACACCTGATTAAGCTTCCACCCCTTGACCAACACCATAGGTCTTCCAGAAGACCCAGGTGGCCACTAGCGCCATCTTGTGGAGAGACCAGCATGGCCAAGGCGCATCCCGGGATGCGCTTAGCACCCTCCTGCTCCATTCCAACCTTACCTCCACAGCCAGCAGAAGTATGGGGTGCTCTGCACAGCCCCCCACCCCGGGGCAGCTTGTCACATGCTCTCCCCTCCGCCGGGACACCCCAGCTGCCCACCCTGAACGGCCACCAAACTCAGTGTGCCCAGGCCTTGGGCACACTTCAGCAGCAAACGCCCAGCAGAAAGCCAACGCACAGGCTGCCGGGACCCGACCTGCCGTCTCCTCAGTCCTCCACGCTGTTAGTGAGGACACCGTCGTCGCCCCCGTCCCGGCCCACGGATAACAAGGAGGCCCAGAGAGGTGCGGCCACCTGCCCAGGACACCCAGCGCCTGTCAGCCCCTCTGTCCGGGTCGATGGGGCTCCCTCCCAGGACCAGCCTGAGCTGCCTCACCTGCGCGGGCACCCCTGTTCCCTCGGCCACTGCCTGTGTGGTAGCAGCTTTCCCGGCGCCCTCTGCTTTCCCTCCCGCCTCATGCCTCGGCGGCCTGGGCCCTGGAGAACCCAGGGAGCTCCAGGAAGGAGACCATAGGAGGGCGCAGCGCCTTGTGGGGTGACTGCCAGCCCGCGCTCACGCCGAGCCACAGGTGGGTGCCGAGACCCCAAGAAGCCAGCAGCCGGCACCAATCATTTCAGCCCATCCATGCTACTTCCCCAGCCATGACACCCCCATACAGCCCTGGGAGGTGCCTGCTGGTACCAGCCCCACTTGCAGAGGAAGCAGGCCCCAAGGACAAGCTGCTCCCCAGTCCTCCCTGCCTGAGAGTCCTGCCGCCTGGGGCCGGGCCCCGCCAGCCTGGCTTCAGCAGGCAGAGGGGTTTCTGGTCCCAGCTGGGGAGACAGAAAGGAAAGGTCACCCCTAATCGGCCCCTCCAGGTGGCTCCCAGGCGTGGAAGAGGCTGAGCGGGAGCCAGCCTGTCCGGAGCCCCTGCCAGGGGCACCCAGGGCCCCGGAGTGCCAGGCACTAGGGCCTCAGGTGGGTGGTTTCACCCTGGGGCGGTCTCCAGCCGCCTCTCCCCTCTCCATCCATTTAGGCCGAGTCCAAAGTTCTCCCACTGCTCTTTTGCGCTCAGAGCTGGGAGGTGGCAGAAACGTCTGTCTGGGTTCCGTGGGGGTCTCGGGCCCCTGGGACGCCGGGTCGGCCGCCTCGCTCACCCCCTCCCGGTTCATGGCATGCGCCTTGCAAGCCGAGCCCCATGCTGGTGCTCCATGTACGTGCCGTGCCCCAGTGACCTCACAGGGGTGGGCAGTGGCAGCTCCAGGCCTGGCCAGGGGAAACTGAGGCCCAGAGAAGCACTGCCGCTCACTGAGGTCACACAGCAAAAGGGGGAGGAGGCAGGTTCAAGAGGGCCCCTAACCTCAGGGCCAGCGTCCTTCACCCCAATGGCGGACAAGTCTCTGGGGGCTGAGGGGTCACTGAGGCAAGGGCTAGGCCGGTCATACGGGGTGGCAGGGGGCAGTGGGTGGCAGAGACCCACAGGGAAAATTGGCTAATAGTTAATCGTGTGGCGGAGTCCTCAGAAGGGGGTGGGGATGGGTCCAGGAGGGGTGTGAGAGAGGGGGACTCTAGAGGGTGGACAGCTGGGGAGGAAACAGAGGGCAGGCAGAGCCATGCTGGGGCTGGGGGAAAGGGGGACTCACCCTCCTTCTCCGCCATGTCACCGTCTCCTGTTAATGATTTCCCGGCTGACCTCCTGGGCCAGGCAGGACCTGTGGGGAGGTGAACGGGGAGGCAGGGCCTGGGGGAGCCCAGCCCAGTCGTGCCCCCAGTCCCCGGCGCCCATCCAGGGAGACTGGAGGGACTGGGCCCCGGCCAGAGCACGCCGTGATCACGGACGCAGATTGGGCTAGGTTCAAGGATGGGGTCAGTGTCTGACCGGGGGCCAGGGGGACACCAGAACTTGCCTGGGCCTGGGGAGGAAGGGACTGAGGGTCTGAATCCATGGGTTTGGGGGAGCAAGGGGCCTGGATTTCTGGAAACTGGGGCAGGAGGGGTCGGGGGCGGGACGCCTTAGCAGGAGCAGAGGGCCGAATCCCCGGGTCTGAGGGGTAGGGGGACTGGAGCCCAGTCTCTGGGGCTGCCGGACGGCACCTGAGCTCCAGCTCCCTGGGGAGAAGTCAGCTGGCTCTGAGGTCCCCAGAGCGCCCCTACGGGGCCGTGGGCACGAGGTCGGCCGCCTCTACGGGCCGTGGGCACGAGGTCGGCCGGGGGCCCGGACCCATGCTGTGAGGCTGGCTCTGAGGTCCTTACCCCGGGGTCCAGCAGCTGCTGTGGAGCGCAGAGATGGTGCCAGAGGAGGGTCAGTCTCCGGGCCTGGGCAGGAGCATGGTGGCCAGCGGCGGCAGCAGCAGCGGTGGACGCCAGCGGCGCGTGGGGCCTGCTAGGCCTGGTAGCCTCACCTGAGGAGGAGGGGGCTGGGCCAGGGGCGGAGGAAGGGGCGGGGAGGGGCCGGCCAAGGGATTGGCAGGCCGGAGGCCACCTGGCTGGCGGGGCTGGATTTCCAGGGGCTGGGCCAGGCCGAGAACTGCCCTCCCGTGCCCCGTGGGTCGGAAGGCCCAGGTGAGCGGCGCGTTTGAGGAGCTGGAGCTCCCTCAGGCTTGGGGAGGCCGACAGGCTGGGGGCTGCCGAGGAGGGCTGAGGGCGGGCCGGCGGAGTGCCCAGGCACCCCAAGTCACCCCGCCAGTCACTTGGGCCTCGGCCCAGCCCCTGCCCCGCCCCAGGCAGCCTAAACCATCCCCGCCCACCCTGCCCTTCCACTGGCGGCCCAGCCCCAGGCCCATCCCCGCTGTTTCCTGCTCCCCTTCAGTTCCTGAAGAAGCAGCCTGGCCTGGGAGGGGGCCCCCCTGTTTTGGCCCAGCCCCAGCCGCCTCCCCAGCCCCAACACCTGCCCCACCCAGTCTGCTGCACCCCTTCCCCCAACTCCCCTCCCCCCAACCGCTTTCCTACAAGTCACGGGGGCTGGTTTGCTTTGGCAGCCTCTCTGCTGCCCGCGATGACCTCTGGAGCTGGGAAAGGCCTGGACTGGGGGGATGGGGGGCTTGGCCCGGAAAAAGCAGCACTGAGTGCTGAGGCCAAGTGGCCGGAAGTGTCCAAAGGCAGAGACATGCTGTCCCACCGGACGGCCAAGCGCACCCCACGTCAAACTCCAGGGCCAGATAAACATCCAGCCCAGGGTCACCAGCAGACACCTGCCTGGGACAGCCCCACGCTGTCACCCGGGGGTGCTAACCCCAGAGGGCTGCAGCTGGGCCGCTCCGGGGCCCCTGGCACTGCCCACCAGCCTTCCCGACCTCGCCGCCTCCCAGCTCCCACCAGAGACCCACACTGCTGGGAACACAGCGAACCCACTAAACTCTCTTCTCTGCCCTGCAACCCCACCCCAGCCTCTAGACTCCCGGCTGGCTCCCTCCGGCTCTCCCTGCCACCCAGGTCCCCCCCCACACATGAATCAAGTACCAAGTTCCACTCCCCTGCGCCCCAGCAGGAGCTGAGCCTCACCACCCCCACCCCAACCCTGAGTATGTGTGAGACCCCCCACTGCCTGTGGGGAGGACAGAAACAGGGGAAACTGAGGCTCTTGGATTTCGGGGGTGGTACAGAGACTGACTGGGCTCACGAGAGACTAGGAATCAAGTCCAAGAACCTTTATTTCATGAACAAAACTACTTGTGTAAAGAGAGAGGAGGCTGAACGGGCCCTTTCTAGTGGCCACAATCCAAGGCTGGTGAGAGAGGGCGGGCTGGGGCGAGAGTGCATCGCAGGGAGAGGGGACCCCAGGTCCAGCCAGAGGAAGCAGGAGAGGACATGTCGCTAGGGGTCGGGGTGGGTCCCAGGACCCCCTGCCCCGCTGTTCCTGCCGTCACCACCCTGCTGGGCAGGGGGGGGGCAGGGAGGGCCTGGGCCCCAGTGGTGCGTGTCTGAAGCGGCCAATGTGTGCAAATCAGCAAGAAGGAGGGGTGCGGAGCCGCTGCCCCCACCTCACCGTCCCCCCTCCGAACAGGCAGCAGAAGCAGGGTGGGGGCAGCTGCAGTATTGCTTTGCCCATCATGCATGGCGGAGGGTGGGCAAGGGGGCAGGAGGAGGAGGGCTGGTTAGGAGTGTGAGCCGAGCCCCCCGCCCCCCCACCCCGCGGCTCCGTTGGCAGGACTCTGAGGCTTGTGGAGGCCCAGGGATGGCCAAGCCCCCTTGGGGGCAGGCTGTGCCCCGATGTTCCCCAGTAGGGCTGGCTCTTCCTAGAGGCGGAGCCCAGGGCCTGCAGGTACAGGAGAGATGGGTTACGGGTTACGGGGCGTCTGGGGGGCGGCCTCCCAGACCCGCCCGCACACCCGCCGCCGTACCGGGGCTATTCGGCCACCTGGACGCCCGTGCAGTTCTCCTTGCTCTCTGAGGTGATGGCCAGGTATTCCGAGCTGTGGGGCGAAGGACAGGTGTTCAGTGACCCCGTCACTAGTCTGGCCCACCCCCAGGGGACCGAGGCGAGGTGGAGGTGAGGGCTGTGACCCAGGCCAGAGCTAGAGGGAGCTGGGGCTCCAGAAGTCTCAGCCTGAGGCGCTCAGAGAGCGGGAGGGGGTGCTGGGGGGGGCTTCCGGGTCTGGGGGAGGCAGGGCCAGAGGCATGGACTCCTGTCTTTGGGGAAAGGACGTTGGGCCTGAACTCTGGGTGCTGAGAGCAAAGGAGATTGAGCGTCTGAGGGAGCAGGGGGCCAGGGAAGACTGACCGTTGGCACCGGACCCCCACCCCCGGACGCCTGGGGCCCGGGTCCCCCACCCCTCACCAAGCCCACTCACGCGTTCTCTTGCGCAGCAGCCTCCGTGGCCGCCGCGATCTTCTTGTAGCAGTAGACCATCTCCGCCACGAGCCAGATGGTCAACAGCACGATGAGCACGTACATCATGATCTCGGACACGATGGACGCCATGTCTCTGTTGGCTGCACAGCCCGGCAGGGTTAGGTTCCGGCTCTCCGCACCCCCAGTGCGGTGCCAGCCTGCTGTGTGAGCCTGGGCCAGTGGCTCAACCTCTCTGGGCCTGGGCTGCGGATGGGCGGACCGTGCCCCCCCCTCCAGTCACTGCTGTTACTGTATCAGTATGCCGCCCTAGGGGAGCCCTGGGAGCACCCTCGACCGGCCCCCCTGCGTAAACAGGGTACGTCTGTGTCTTCGGGCAGTTGTGGGCATCTCTGTCAGCAGGTGCCCAAGAACTGGAGCTCTGCAAGCAGACAGCTCAGGTTCAAATCTCAGCTCTGCCACCTGCCAGCTGTGTGTTCTCGGGCAAGCGACTCGACCTCTCTGGTCTCAGCGTCCCTGCGTATGAAAGACTGGTCATCACAGACTCTTCTTCGGGACAGTGTGAGGATTAAACAAGCGCTAAGATTCTCCAGACCAGCGCTCAGTAGCTGCTCTCCACTCTGCGCCTTCCCGCTGCGACTCAAGAGCAGCAGACCCAGCAATTAGGAGCCAGGGCTCTCGGTCCCAGCCGCCAGTCTGCAGCTCGGTTCTGCTCCTCACTTGCTGTGTGACCTCAGGCCACTGTCTCCACCTCTCTGAGCCTGCGCCCCTCTGTAACATGGGCTGGTAACACTCCTGCCCTCTCACACCGCCCTGCAGAGGCCCAAGGTGCCCCGCGCCAAGTGCGGATGGCACACCGTGCGCACAGCTGTGACGCGGTGCCTGCGGAAGCCGCCATCCCGCCTGCAGGCCCGCCCTTCTGCAGCTGCCTCTCTCCGGGCCTACATTTAAACTGAAAAGGGAGCGCCCTCAGCCAGGGGCCCAGCAAGGCCATGTCGGCATCTGGATGCCGCGGGTGTCCTCGAGGAGGCCCCCCTTCGCGGGCCGGGATGGCGCTCCGCCCCCGCCCCTGCTCACGTCCTCATGTGGCTTCCTCCCGAGTGGGCGCTTTCTGTTCTTCACCCGGTGCAGATGGCACCCATGTTTTCTGGGCCAGACAGAGTGCAGAAGGGTGCAGGGCCGGAAGCTGCTCCCCTGCTGCCTTGCGGGACGGTGGAGCCTGCATCCATCCTTCCATCATTCCTTCCCTCGCAAGACGCCAGGATGCATTTCCGGCACCGAATGCCCTGCCCAGGCAGGCGCGGTGCTGAGTGCTTTATCTGCGGCCTCCTGACTCTGGGGCAGCCCCAGCATGGAGACGCCCGCTTCCCCTCCCGCGGCTGACCGCGGTATACGTTGGATGAGGCGCACTTTCTTGCCACGCCCAGAGCCTGCCCCGGGTGCAAAGGGCAAACGGTTGGTTCCCTAACTGGCATCCCCTGTGCCCCGCCACATGAACACAGGCGTGGCTCTGACACCCCCTTTTCAGACCAGGACACTGCCGCACAGACAGGAAACTCAGGAATGGACTCAGCGCCGGGACTCACCCCAAGTGTAACAGCCTGGCCACGGGGCCAAGCCCCCACCTGCTCTGGAAAGCGCCTGCCGCTGAAGGGAGACTCAGGGAAGGCTGCAGTGAGCGAGGGCAGGGGACAGTGGTGACCCCCCACCCCCACTTTACAGACGAGGAACCGAGATAGAGGGGCTACACCGAGGCTCAGAGAGCCCTTATTTTCTCCAACCCCCCAAATGCACGAAGGTCACCTGCTGCCTGGCCAGGCAGCCCCCAGAAGCAAAGCCCCGCCTCAGACTCCGCTGCCCCTCAACACACCTTCTGCCGGTGCTGGGAAGAATCTGCCGCTTGTCCCCATCTGCAGCCCCACAGCCAAGGAGGACCCCAGGAATTTCCTGCCATCATCTGTATACACCTCTGCAGGGCCAGTCCCAGCGCACCTCTCTCTTGGAAATGACTCAGCTCAGTGCCTCGGG